AACCAGTATTTTGCATAATCCATTATGATTTTGCATCTTTTGTGTTTTCATACGACTGTCTCTTCAACATTGATTTTCTCCTCTTCCCACCGTTTATTTCCTGTTCTATACTCGATCGATAGATGTAGGTACACATGTTTACATGTGATTAATTATGATTACATTAGATGTGCTATCTGGCTCTGCAATAATTTCTTAATTCAATCTCTCAGAATTATCCTTGAATTCAGAAAATTCAAGGTACGCCAGTTCTAGAGTGGGGTATCAAAATTACTGATCCGAATTTTATAGTTAGTTACCGTAAGGGTCCTATATTTACAAACTTTCAAACATTATTTGATATCTCTAGTATTTCTAGTTAATTCTATATGGCTTAATGACTTCAAACTCTTCTTTTCTTTAATTTTAGGTTGATCTTTTGAGAAAGTTTAAAGTTAAGCGAAAGCATCTTTCAAAAAATTTTCAAATTTTGAAAAATAGCTAAGTCTTAAGGGCATTATTTTAAAAGCAAAAAAAATTAATAACAATGTTCTAAGAAAATTTCAGGATTACTAAAATATCCGTCTATAAGATATTATTACAGTTCGCATTTCTCAAAACATGAGACATACATCAATGGAGTAAAGCAGATGTCGAAGAGCTCTTTTAAAGCATTCGTCGAGTACAAGGTAGTTTAATTTTAAGATTTTTTAGTCATTTTTTCCACACTATTAAAGCTTCAGTCCTATCCCATTTCTTACAGGGACCTGAAGGAGGATTTCGTGTCAAACTGGCGGATAACGCTGACGACCTTTCCGAGGAGGAGACGGAGGATGATGACCGCACTAGCAGGTTGGATCTACCCGCCTTTTACCTTGTAAATCGCAAAGGAGTATAATATCAGGTGTTACTCTGAGATCACCGACAGTGAAAGTGATATCCAACCATTTGCTGCACAGAAACAAAAAGCTGAAGCGAAGAAAAGGCATGATAAGGTTGTGGCTTTTTAATAAAGATTTTTTTGGCTTTAAAAAGATGCATATTGCTCTTTCAGGCTTGGTTTGCTGCTAAAGAGTTGGTGGATAGTGAGAGAAGATATGTGGATAAATTGCGGTTGTTAGATGAGGTAGGCTATTTGCCAGCAAGTATAGTTAATTTGGTGTCGAAAACTCCAAAAATATAAGATTTTCAAAATTTTAGATATTCCGAGAAAGAGTGGTAAAAGAAGCGGCCATCGACAAAGACAAGCAGCACAAGATATTCGCAAACATTGCTAGTTTGTATCAATTCCACAATACTCACTTCCTTCCTCAATTAATGGAGGCAAGCCGAGATTGGCACACAACGAAAAGGTTTGCAAGACTTTTCCAATGCTCCTCAGACTTTCTTAAATGTTACCTATTTTTATTTTGACCAAGCTTCTTTTCTATATCTAGTATCTATATCTAGTATCCAAAACTATCAGGGAGTCCTTCAACTTCCCAAAATATCTGAATAAAAAGCAATCAGAAGCTCTTTGCTCTGTGACCAATA